ATACCTAGCATATTTGCAACATTAAGCATGTCCTCAATATCAACAACATCTTCATTATCATCGTTATTTTCTAAATTCATATTTTCTAAAAATACCGGACCTTCTTCTTCGTGTTGAATTAGATGCACACCTTCATCTTCATTATTCAATTCTTCTATGGAATCCAAGAGTTGGAGCCTAAGCCTGGACTCAACTTCTCTTCTGAGGGCAATTCGTTTTCTCTCGAGGTATTGAACCTTGTTCTCTAGTTGCCTCACCAACTTCTGGTTCAATGCTCCAGCAGGCACAGTTACACAGAATAGACCAGCTCGTTTACTTGGTATTTTGCACATAGCAGTCCATTTCTGAGATTGTATATCGTATGCTTCCACGTTGGCTATTACATCTCCATATCTATAAAATCCACCAATAGCAAACAGTTTTCCATCAATAAACTCCAAACTATGATTATATCTGGGTGTACTCATACTAGGTATCCTGGTCCATCTTCTCTCTTTGGGAATATAAACCTCACAGGTATCTAACCTTTTGAATCCATCCCATCCTCCAACTACGTAAATCCTATCCCCCACTCCGATTCCTTTTACTCCAGATCTACAGGTTTTCATCGCTTGGATTTTTCTCCACTTGTTCATCGTTTGATNTAAAAATCCTATTTCCGGCTAAACATTTTAAAGACAATCTTCATCTTGGGACTATTTTAAGATATGAGCTAATTAGGGTTGAAAAAGATATAATGTGTTTTTAATTATCAATGTGAACTGACTTTTTTATTGACATTAATATCAGTTACAATACAACTTTTAAGTTTTTAACACTTTGAAAGCCTGGTTTTTATTATGCTAAAAAACCTTTTCTTTAATGTTGCTTAAAATATGGCCGAGCTGATTCTAAACTCTTATTTTTTTAGGGTGATGGTTTGATTGTCTCTACCCCTACTGGTAGTACAGCCTATGCTGTTGCTGCTGGAGCAAGTATGATACATCCCTCTGTCCCAGCAGTCATGGTTACTCCTATCTGTCCTCACTCTCTCTCATTCCGTCCGATCGTTGTTCCTGCTGGGGTAGAGCTCAAGATCTCCGTGAGCCCCGACAGCAGGAACACCGCGTGGGTCTCCTTCGACGGGAGGAAGCGACAGGAGCTGTGTCATGGTGACAGCTTGAGGGTTAACACCAGTATCTATCCGATTCCATCCATCTGCTCACAGGTATGAAAATGTTTCAATAAATATATGAGTCGATCTGATCTATAATGCAATTTGTTCAATAAACTTCACTAAATGTCTTTAAGTTTAAAATATAAAAGGTTTATACCATCAGGTTTCAAAGTTATTTTCAAAGAAATATGGGATTGGAAAATTTTAGTTTCTGACAAAAACTCAGTTTCTTTGGGGTTTTAAATTCAAGCTATAGATTTTTGTGTATCTTAAACAAATTCAAAAAAAAAATTTTTGTTGAAAACAATTTTAATGTTTGTTTTCTCGTAGGATCAGATCAGTGACTGGTTCGATTCCCTGGCCGAGTGTTTGCACTGGAACGTGAGGAAGAAGCAGAAGCATCTCGATGAGTTGACTGATCTGAGCGGTGGCGGCGGCCAGGCCGAGGAGGGTCGGTAGAAGTACATGAAGAAGGTCATAATGTTCTACGTTCAAACTTTATGCAACAATACCATCAAGTGCCAATAATTTTACGAGAAGATTTGCATTCCGTCTTTCAAGCAGCTTGCACATACAAACATTTTTTCCCTAAATTGTGATACAGGGTGGCTGGAAAATGTATCATAAAACGCACTAATAGAATATCACATTTTCTTGACCACCTGTTTATATATCGACCGGTGTACTTTATGTACCCTGAACAATGAACATATTTGAATATTTATATATGTAAACCCGTATGACTGTAAAGCTCAAAATGGTCCTGAGCTGTTTACACTGTAGAATGACATCACTATTCTATATTTGAGCAATGAACCCGTTGTAACGTGCATGGAATCACGTTTACTATGAAAACTGAATCATATTTGATTTGAATGAACCTTATGAATAAATGGAATTTACATTGCATTTTATTTATTTTTCTAAATCTACTAGCGATTGTAAAAAATAAAGGGCGGAAGACACAATTTCAAATGGTCCTCTATTTATTATGTGGTTTGTTCGATCCACAACAGTACCCGATAAACCTTACTCTGGTCATTTATGGTTAATATGGTCTCCATGTAAAAGTGACTTGTAAATATATGAAGGAGCGACAATGAGAAAAATTGTCAGAATTCGACACTTCTCAAGATAATTAAACCAATATATCTTCTTTATTGGAAATAAGACAAATGTTGTGAAAGATATGATAGTCAAGACAACTTGAAGTTTTGTGTCAGTTATTACTCAACAAGAGCAAAGGATCAAGGCTGTAATGCAAGGAAAGTTATTTCAGAGGTTTACGCATCTTTTGTACTGCAGTGTACTGTCTCTGGGTGGTAATGTAAACACAAGACCGATGTCGAAGCCTGTCATGGGATCCATCTTTCACATAAAATATTTATGAAATATTCTGGTCATAGGAAACTATTATGTGAACAAAATTATCAAAATTTAATGCTTTTAATCTCCTAGGATACTAAACGAACACGATGCATCATTCTTGTTTACAAATTCCGCTCAGAGAGAACTGGTTTCAATATGTACAAAGAGCATACGCAACTGCAATTAACTTTCCTTGCATTATAACCTTGGTCATGATGTGACATCCGTCTCGTGTTTACATGACCGCCCAGAGACAGTACACTGCAGTACAAAAGATGCGTACACCTCTGAAATAACTTTCCTTGCATTATAACCTTGGTCAGGATGTGACATCCGTCTCGTGTTTACATTACCGCCCAGAGACAGTACACTGCAGTTCAAAAGAGGCACGTACACCTCTGAAATAACTTTCCATGCATTATAACCTTGATTTGAACTAAGAATTGAGTAGTTTTTAAGAAAATATCAAGTACGGATTTTGATTGAATCCCCAATATAACCCTCATCCACCTTTGCCCCTATAGTCTATAACATTTTAGATACAGGGTTACCAACAAAGAATGAGACTTCAGAGACGACTGTACGGCAGATATAAATGCTGGACAAATATTTGAGATTAATGAAATCTCGAACAATAATAACTTTCTGCATAAAAAAAAAGAAAAAACACTCATTCTTTAGAGACATAACCATTTTACAATAGACTTTTAATTTTTGCAAGGTACTTTCCGTACATTCATATAACAATGAAAACAAAAGTGAAGAAAAAAGCAAGTTTAAATGACACACATGTTAATAATAAGTATTACTATTATTATTTTATATTTTATAAAAACACACAACATATTTTGACCCGGTTAAAAAAGAATGGTGGCAATGAAAATAGTGTAATAACATTCATGATGAATTTTTGAAAGAATAATTTATAATGAACAATAAATCAACCAGTTAGAGTTTTAGGAACGTGAAACGTCCTATTATCTACATATCATGCCCAAGATGAATTTACTAAATCGGGATAGAGATATGTACAATTATAGCTGTGTGATTTAATTGTTTAAAATACACTTTTCAATGTAGATATTGGCAGATTGGTAGATTGCACCCTTTTTGTTTTAAAGTAGATATACGATTCTTTTACGCATTAGAAAGTTCTAGGTCATGAAGCATTTAAAGGGACTGTGGACGTAATTTCAATTGACCCTTAATTAAAAAGTGACCAGTCCGATCAGAAAGGTTTGCTTCAAACCTTTATCAAAGTTACCATCGTCATTTTGTTGCCAAAAAAAGCGTTATTTTTTGTTTTTTAATTTCTTTGTATTGTCTCCAAAGCCGCCAGTCACTTTTACAAAGAAACCACATGCAAAAATAATTAATTTTAAGCTTGACAAATAATGATATTACATTCATTCTTGATCCAAAAGTTTAAACGGGGATCTATGTGTAAGATTACGTTTACTGTTCCTTTAAAGGAACTGTAAATAATATCACGTGACCCTCCACATGCAAAAATAACGGTTCACTTTTCAAGTGTACCTTTATCTGATCAATAATGTGTAAGATATTGTCGTTTCTTTACTATGTTTTCCTGTAGTTGAAATGCGCAAGTCATTATTAAGTAGAAAACCCACGATTGGAAATGATCAGTTTTCAAAATTATAAATATGGATATCTAATGCATACTTGATCAGACAAAGCTTTTAAAGGTGCTGTTGTGAATCAGGCATTGCCAACTTTGAACGAAGGTTCATTTAGAATTACGTATACAGTCCCTTTAAGCATTAACGCATGAAAACATTGTGAAAATTAATCTGTCTGGAATCCGTTTATGTTCAGACAGATTTCATAAAGAGAGATTAGTTCCGCAGGCTTTAATAAATTCTGTATTCATCATGAAAATATCAAATTCTTTTATTAGTTGTTTTCACTGACTTTGAAACGTGATTAGATCCTTAATATGCGTTCTATGTTTTTAGACAAAATAAAGTATTTTAGATCATATATTTTCTCCATACATTGCGCAAAACTAAGAAATAAGAATGCAGTAAGCAATTTTTTTAAGTGCAGTCTCGCTAGACATGATAATTTGATATATCGTAGCTGTGTCTAAGATTAGGTGTGTATTAAAACAAAAAATGTCAACCCGTTCTAAACTATAGTGTCCAGATACAGGGTTACCTATAAAGCATGAGACTTCATAGACGACTGTTCGTCGGAATTTGTACTATCTGTTTCCTTATAGTAATGATGCCCTGCAACTATAAACTTGTTTTTGTCTTTGCCAAATTATTTAATAAGCCGTAAAAAGACTATTTTCAAAAATGGACTGCACACTAGCTTACAATACGTTAAAGAAACTCCAAGAAAAGAAAATTTTAAGAACTTTTAAGGTTTTAGAATTCCAAGGCAAGAACAATTTACTTTTATTAATATTTTGTTTATTATACATAAAACTAATGCATTGAAGTACAATGTATGCCCTCTCGTCAACTTTATGACTATGAATTTATTACACTTTTTTAATCTTCAAAATAAAAATATAAAAATTAGGTTCAAAGTAGTCATGAAAATACAATTTCTAAAACTGTATCTATGTTTTTATTAAATTTATCTTTAACTTTCTGTTTTAATTGTTGGTAACTTTAGAGTGCAATTTTTAATAAATAGAATTCAAACTATTTGGATATGAAAATCAGAGGAAGTGACAGCAATTATGAAAAATGTCAAAAATAGGAGTTTGCCAAAAACCCAGGCATTTGAGAAATTTCCCAAAAACCCAGGCTTTTGGGAAATTATTAAATATGCACCACCATCAGATTCCAACAGGGTTAAGGGAATTTCGGAAATTTCCCACATGCCTGGGTATCTGGGAAATTTCCGAAATGCCTAGGTTTTTGGGAAATTCCCCAAATATCCATTCATTTGAGATATTTCCAAAATCTTAAAAATATACCAAATACTTGGGTATCTGGGAAATTTCCCAAATGTCTGGGTATTTGGGAAATATTCGAGATTCCCCAAATTTCTATTGGAATCTGATGGTGGTGTATTTTAAATATTTTAGAAATTTCCCAAATGTCTGGGTATCCTGGAAATTTCTCATGCCTTGGTATTTGGAAAACTTACCAAATCCCTATTTTCTTCACAAGTATAATTCTGTCGTGTCATAGAAAATCTAGCAAAATTGGTAAAACTTGAATCTAAAACCGTAACAAAAATTATCACCTATGAAAATGATAAAAACACAGTGGTATAGTCGAAATCTCCAACAAGAGCAATATTTGTACAATTTGAAAAATGCCATGTATTGGGAGCATCTCTGAGTGGGATGTGAACAGCTCTGAGAGATATCGGAGCAGCTCTAGGAGACATGGGAGCAGTTCTAGGAGGGATTGGGAGCAACTTTAAAGGTTACTAGTAATAACATTAAACCAAGCTGCTGCAGCAACTGCTCCTGGGTCCTCTTCAGAAACCTGGAAAAAATAATTGTTTTACACTTACTGTAATGTATTGTAATTTGTACACTATACATTATTGTACACTTACTACTCAGCTAGATAAGTTTTGTTTTTGGGGAAACCTTGTACTTAAGTTTGTATGATATCTGTACCTTATCTCTAGACACATAGCTTGCCCTGCCAGCCCTAGCTACCATCGTCGCCGTTTTCTTCGCGCCGGTCAGAGCAGCTTCACCGGCTGCTGTTAAAGAACCGGTTTTACCCCCGGTCTCCTCTAGGACTAGGAGGGCCGGGTAGAGGGCATCGATCTGTAAAAAGAACAAAGGAAATGAGTTTTTGCCACATTCTCTAATTTTTGTATCCCTATATCTTTGAAACCAGATATCGTAGACCTTTGATAATTCCAACTATGAATTTTGTTAGATCTTATAGTAAAAGTTTAAAATATAAGGCTTACACGATCAGGTTGCTAAGATTGAATTAGAAAATTTGAGTTTGGGGCAAAAACACAGTTCCTTTGCTCAAGTCCTTTGAATCTCCAGAATTCAAAAGAAGCAGACCATGTTTTAACAATCTGAAATTTTTGGGTTTTAAAAATATCTGTCTGCTCCCGTTATAATGGAATTTTGAATGATCTATTTATTGGAATTAAAGGAATTGAGTCTTTGCCACAAACTCGGATTTTTAAATCCCAATTTCTTTAAAACCAAATGTCGTAGACCGTAGATATTTCAAACTATGAATTCTGGTGGATCAAACAATGTAAGTTTGAAATATGAAAGGTATGCATCATCTGGTTGTTGAGATTTAGGTACTATAAAATTGGCATTTGTGGCCAAAACTCAATTCCTTTGTATATCTAGTATATGCTGAAAATTATTCTTATCAAGTTCTAAATTCTAATCCAAAGTAAACAATTCGGAATCTTCTTCTTATCACATTATTTCAAATAAATAATTCTGATTTTTTAGGAAAAACGTCTGATAAAGAACAAAATTCATCCACGCATAAAATGCATACTGCATACATTGGTTGAGATCACATATAGAAGTAGTGCACATCAAGTTTATCAACTTGTTCCATGTATTATCTTGGGTTTGTTTAAAAAAACTGGTTTTAATTTTCTAAACGGTCAGAATGTCTCAACTTTCAGTTTCATAAAATCCATGGGCGATTTTACAGGAACACTCCAAGATGTTTTCCAAGATGCTGTCATGTTTTCAACTTTCCCCCCTTGAGTCCTGCAGAGAGGAACAGGGGAAAAGAGACACTTAAACCTCAATTTTCATGAGATGTTTTTTTTTATTTTCCAGGGTTAACACAAATTTCAATGAATCCGTCCTTGTCTATACTTCACTGTAAATTGCATTGTTTAAACCTACCATGGTTCTATCTCCAGGTTCAGCTCCTCCATACTTCATAACCGTCTCCAAACCAAACCTGTACATTTATACATAACAGTCTCCAAACCAAACCTGTACATTTATACATAACCGTCTCCAAACCAAACCTGTACATTTATACATAACAGTCTCCAAATCAAACCTGTACATTTGATAATCGTCACCTAACCAAACCTGTACATTTATACATAACCGTCTCCAAACCAAACCTTTACATTTATACATAGAAGTCTCCAAACCAAACACCTGTACATTTATACATAACCGTCTCCAAATCAAACCTATATATTCATACATAACCGTCTCCAAACCAAACCTGTACATTTATACATAACAGTTTCCAGTTCAATCAAATATTTAAACGAAATCTCAACATTTATACATAACCGTCTCAAAATCAAACCTGTACATTTATACAAAATCGTCTCCAAACCAAACCTATACATTTATACATAATCGTCTCCAAACCAAGTCTGTACATTTATACATAACCGTATCCAAACCAAAGACAGCAATTATGAAAAANTCCCCTTTCCCTACCCCTCCCCATCCCCTCCCTAGGGAGTTAAATCAAATTTCAAGTTACAAAGAAATATATTGGTAGAAAATATATCTCAGCTCCTGCAGTCTCCAGCAAAGCAAGCGTTATTCTTCGTCTCGAGTCATGATACGGGGTTACCCACAAAGGATGAGACTACAAAGACGACCTGAATATGACGATTCCAAGGATGAATGAAGTCTTCTGCGTTGAAAATAGTTGATTTATTTAATGATTTGGCAAAGAATGAAACAAGTTTATAGTTGCAGAGAACCATAAATAAAAGGAAACCGTAAAAACTCCGTGCAGTCTTCTCTGAAGTATTATTCTTTAAGTAGGCAACCCTCTACCATGTATATCAAACTTTCTTGAAGCAACAAAGCTGCAAAAAATCAATGAGTTAAACTATATAATTAGAAGTTTGTTAAGGTTAAGAACCTAAGCAATAAAGCCTCTTATTATGATTGAGGAGTTAAAGGTTTCATCTGAGCTCAATCTAATTAAACACTAGTTACTGAAATTTTAAAAGCATTGTTCTGTATACTGTGTAGAAATGTATATTATAAATGTCTATAAAATTACCTAAGAGCCCTGACCCAAGCCAATGGATCCACCTCGCCTCCTACTTGATCCTGGATAAAGAAAAAATTAAGAACACACAGATAAGCTAGGATAGATAAAATAGGGATATATAATACCTTTCACCGTAGAGCGTTCTTAATTTTCTTAAAACACAATTTGACTAGAGGGCTTTAAATCAAACGGTACATAAAGGGGGTACAATGCAGTACAGTACAGAACAGTACAGAACCTGGAAAGCTCTGGCTGCTCCTGTAAAGAGAAGAGAATAAACTCCACCGGAGGAACCTCCCATCCTCTCCGCTAGTACTCCAAGCTGCTGTAGGAGTATCCAGGGATGATTACAATCAAGGCCTGCCAACCCTTCCAGTAGTGCTACAAGTAAAAAGTAATATTAATTGTAGGTTTAACTTGTGACAATGTCAAAAAATCAGAAAAAAAAATTATCTTTCAAAGAGGGATAGTAGATAAAAGAATTATTTTTGATTAAAAAACCAATAGAAACAAATGAAGAAGCATTTGCTCTAAATAATAAATATTTATCAATTCTTTCTTTCAATTTTATAAAACCCGATGCTTTACACTAGAACAATTTATTTTCCTGCAAAACTTTATCTCTTTGGAGCGTTTTTCAAGTATTTTGTATTTTAAACATCACGATAAAATCATTTTGAGAATTTGAGAAGGATCTAGGTTTACCTTTAGCTCCCACAGCATGGGTTGACCCGCAGTCCCCGTCTCCGGATCCACTATCCAGCAGGTTCAACTTAGCCTCCAACCCTTGTAGGGTTCGGGCAACCTCCTCCAGGATAGATTGAACCTTCACTGCTGCAGCGTCGTTCAACTTTACTCCGGTCATCTTCCAATCATCAACCTGGAATATTATTTATCTTAGTCGGTCCAACCCAGTTAAGCTAAATAAGTTTGTCACCTTTATTGAAGAGGGCTCGACAGGTTCGGGGTTAAATCTGTCGCGATTATTATCCGACATTAGGTTGGCCGGCCAGGCTGGAGCTGAGGTCGGAGCATCCAACAACTCCAACCACTCCAGATTGTCTGAAACCTTGAGCAGGCTGATAAGGAACCCGGACATCTCTAGGGAGGTCATCATATGTCCTGCATACAATCTGACCACCTTGAACCCCCGACCCTCCAGCTGCATGACAACCTCCCTTGCAATGATAAGCTCCTCTAGTTTACTGGTTCCTCCAAGGTTATTCAAGATTACTGCAACCTTCTCCCCCGCTCTCAAATCAATCCTCGTAGCAGAATCTATAAAAAAAAACATTAAAGTTCTAACTAAAGTATCAATCAAATTGATACTGGACAAAATTATGTTGATAATGTATTCTTATATGTTTATAAAGTTTCTCACACAAATAGTTAATTTAACTGATAATGTTTTTTTCTAAAAGTATTTTTACCTGACTTTGTCATATGATCAATGATCTGTTTGACCGCTAGGTTTGCTGTTGTATGTGAAACCTCTCCTACTCCAGCCTCTCCGTGAACCCCTAACCCCATCTCTATCTTATCCTCTGCAACTTTAAACAGGGGCCCTTGTCCTAAACATAAAAGAATATAATCAAGAATTTCATTAAAAAGTTTTTTGAAAATAAAGATTTTCTAAAAATGAGAAATTAACCTGGCAAGCTGCAAGGGCCTAGAGATAACCCCATTGTACCCATGTTAGCTGATATTGATCTATAACCAAACTATCTTTAAACTTTAAAAACTGGTTGAACAAAAATGGGAAAAGAAATTTTATTGTCAAAAGTTTATTTTTTATAAATAGTTTGTTCCTGGTTGCTTTTAGGATGGAATCCAATGAGTCTCCTCTCTCCGCCATTGCTCCGACGATCTTGAAGATAAACATGGTTCCACATAATCCTCTCCGTCCTAGAACATAATCTTGAAGATAAACATGGTTCCACATAATCCTCTCCGTCCTAGAACATAATCTTGAAGATAAACATGGTTCAAGTGAAAATATTCTCTGATAATTACCTGCAGTCTTGTCTGCTGTGGTGAGAGAACAATCCTCGCCGTTCACAAACATTTCAACCTACATGTTAGTATTCAAGGTCAAGGAGAGGTCGACAATATTCAAGGTCAAGGAGAGGTCGACAATATTCAAGGTCAAGGAGAGGTCGACAATATTCAAGGTCAAGGAGAGTTCGACCATCTTCAAGGTCAAGGAGAGGTCGACAAAATTCATGGTCAAGGAGAGGTCGACCATATTCAAGGTCAAGGAGAGGTCGACAATATTCAAGGTCAAGGAGAGTTCGACCGTATTCAAGGTTAAGGAGAGGTAGACAATATTCAAGGTCAAGGAGAGTTCGACCATATTCAAGGTTAAGGAGAGGTAGACCGTATTCAAGGTTAAGGAGAGGTAGACCGTATTCAAGGTTAAGGAGAGGTTGACAATATTCAAGGTCAAGGAGAGTTCGACCGTATTCAAGGTTAAGGAGAGGTTGACAATATTCAAGGTTAAGGAGAGTTCGACCATATTCAAGGTTAAGGAGAGGTAGACCGTATTCAAGGTTAAGGAGAGGTAGACCGTATTCAAGGTTAAGGAGAGGTCGACAGTATTCAAGGACACGGAGATGTCGACAGTATTCAAGGTCAAGGAGAGGTCGACAGTATTCAGGGTCACGGACAGGTCGAAAGTATTCAAGGCCAGGGAGAGGTCGACAGTATTCAAGGTCAAGGAGAGGTCGACAGTATTTAAGGTCAAGGAGAGTTCGTCAGTATTCAAGGTCACGGAGAGGTCGACAGTACTCAAGATCAGGGAGAGTTTGACTGCAGTATTCAAGGTCATAGCTTTAACTCCGGTTTTGATGTAGGTCAACAATTTTGAAGGCCATAAAGCACTAACTTTCATGAAGGTAAAAATCTTAAAATTCATGCAGTTCAAATTCAAGATTTGTTTATAAAATATAACATGTTTATAACTACATGTTAAGAAATCATTTTATGTACAGAGAGACAAATAAAACCGTGGAATCAGAAGACGTAATTTAAGCAATCTTATTTGTTTAAGGGTATTGCTATAAAACAAATAGTTTTACCAGTGTCTAAAAGTCGTCTTTCTATCGCTTAGTTTTACAATTACAACCTAAGCAAGAAAAAAATAAGATTCAGTCAGATTCTAAATCAAGGTCAATTCAATCTAATGAAAGGTCCTGGAGGAAAAGTTAAATCTAGACTAACTGTGAATGTATACGAAATAGCTTACAGCTCCAAGATATTGTTAGTTACAACTTCTGAGTTGGGGTTCGTACACACGGTGGAATTAAAATAAATCAAAAAAATCTTAAGTAACTTAAGAATTGATGCAGTGAAGAACTCTAAATATACCTTGAGACCTTCGCTCCGTGCTTTTTCTACCGCGAGTCCGAAGTTGATTCTATCTCCGGTATAGTTGATTACAAGTACGAGAGCTCCCGCTGAAATATGATGATACAGAAGGAGGGGTTTACCTTGAGACCCTGAGCCCTGGCTCTCTCCACACCCATCCCAAAGTTTAGCCTGTCTCCGGTATAGTTGAATACCAGGACTAGGGTTCCGGCTAGAACACAACAAAATCAAATTCGGAACCAAGAACCCCATCCTGTTCTATTGAGCAATTTAAAAAATGAATTCAAATTTCCAAAGTCTCAAATTTTGCTCTTAAATTAATAAAATGTCCACATATTCATAAAAATCTGAACAAGACAATTTTGATTCAGGTTTGGGATTTTACATAGACTTTCTTCTTAGCTTTAAATATAGTTGATTAAAGTAAATTAAGGAGTATAATTAACAAAATAGTATAAAATATTAAAAAAGACGCCATTAAAAAAGGAAAGAAAGTGTGTCCGAAAATATGATTGTACGAAAAATGAGCTTTCCATAATGAATTTCACAGTATTTGTATCTTAAACATGAAGGAGAGATATCAAAGTTTCAGATAATCTTGCTTACATTTTATTAAATGAAACTGGGACGAAATTCTTATTATCACCATCAATTTTGAAGGTAAAAGCAGGCATAGCACAACTTAGCTGGCACTACAGGAATTGAGTCTTCGCTCTAAGCTCTAATTTTCTAATACCTAAACTTTTCAACCAGATCTTGTAAACCTTTGATATTTTAAACTCAGATTATTTGATCTAACAAAATTCATAATTTTAAATATCTAAAGATTACGACATTTGGTTGCAAAGATATAGGGATTAGAAAATCAAGAGTGCGTGGTAAAGTTTCAATTCATGTCTATGTTTACTAGGCTTTCAGAGCGCTTCTCACCTATCTTCTATTTCAAAACAAATAATTTCGCAGATTTTATAAAAATAATTTCGTGGATTTTCAGAATTTTCAAAAATCAATTTTTTTAGAGGCAAATTTTAAAAATATTCGGTCATCCATAAACCTACCCTAGGGTCACGTGAGGTCCCACAAAAAATTTGTGCCAGATCGGTTTAGCTGTTTCAACGTTTATTTGATAAAAAAAAGACAAACAAACAGACAGACAAGCAAAGTATTACTTATATATTTGGTCACCTTGTTCTTTCAATGTCTGAGGGGTTGTTTCTCTTAGATTTCGTGAATATTAAATGAAATACTAAAAAGTAAAATTGAGATTTAACCTGGATTATTGGTTGCAATTGCTCTGATTCCTTCTAGTATTGAAGAGGTTGGCGGAGAGGCGAATACTCCGCCAGCTACTCCAGCGGTCAGCATACCTGTCCCGATATATCCGGCACAGAAGGGTTCATGCCCAGATCCTCCGCCTAGGTTTGTGTGAACAAAAGATAAAAATAAAAAATTCGCCAAAAATAAAAAACTTGTTCAAATCACCTCCTGTCGTGATTTCAAACATGTATCTTGTACATGATCAATACAGATTTCTCAAATGGATCATATTTGGCCATTTCCTTTTATTCTACAATTGCTGACCTGAGAGAATTGCCACTTTCTTCTTGTCAACCTGAAATCAAGTTATTGCTTTTATAGTTTCGAAGAATTGTCCTGGAACAAATAAAACTACACTGAGGCCCATAAAACTGTGGAATAGGAAGGCGATATTTAAGCAATTTTATGATTTAAGTAGCTTTTACATAAACTTATCAAGTGAAATGGGGTTACATTGCATTATAATTACTGTGTTTAATGTTTTAATGTTTATTGGTACACAGATTTATTTATCCCGATGTGGAATTTTAAAAAATTCGGGTCATTAAAATTTAACGAGAATCAATTTTAATCAATCTGCAAATTCATACGCTGGTGTTAGCCAAGTGTAAAAAAGTAAAATAAAATCATTTAAATTAGAATAAGATTTGTTTTCAGTGTTAAAATATAAAGAAATAAATGCAAGAGAAATGTATAGTTACCGTCTCACGTAGTAGAACCCTCTGTCCTTTTATTCTCCTGATTCCAGGATTAATCATGGTTAATCCGTCCAGAGCCTCGTCGACCACATCCTCAACCTTGTTGATCAGCTTCTTCCCTGACATGTTCAACTACAAGCAGATTGAGATTGCACGGTTAAGGATAAAATCCAACTGTTCTGTTGCTATATGGCTTGAGAGTATAGCTTCTATCAAATCCGGTCTGTGTGTACTCTATCGGCCTACCGGAGTACTCACTGAACCCGACTCATCTAATTCAAACAAATTCAGACATCCCTCCTCCTTCCCCTCATACATGTTTTTCTTATCTACATACAGTAATAACCAGAAAACAATGAAATAGGAAGACGACATTATAACAATATTTAAGTGTTTTTGGTACTGTTACCATTACCAAGCCAATAGTTTTACTAGACACTTATTTAATCACTAATTTAGTGAAATGGGTCTGTTTACACTGCACATTTGCTTTAAGTGTCATGTCTCTTCCTGTTTCAGAGTTTTCTAGTTATCTCTGTAATATAACAAGATTAAGTAAAACATACGAAACACTTGCTAAAAGAACATTAAATCAAAATAATCCTGTAGATACAGGGTGTTCGACGAAACATGACAGTAGTAGCAAGACGACTTAAAGGTCGTCTTTTATTTTTGATACATGCTGAATTTTTTGTCAACCTAACTTAAGAAATAAAATTCTATCGATAATCATCACAAAATAATCCTACCCCTGGCATTTCCAAAATGTGGTCTGCCTTTTTGTGCCTTCAATATTACTCGAGATATGAAAAATTTCGCTCAGATTTCGACAATTTTGATTTTATTTTACAAGGTGAAATCTGAATCATGAAATGTTAGAACCAGGCTAATTTTGCGGTTATTGCTTCAAGAGTCATCCAGCTAAAGTAGGTTAAGGACTGAATGTGATAAACAAATTCAAATATCAGAGAAGACGACTTTAAAGTCGTCTTGCTACTGTCATGTTTCGTAGGACACCCTGCATGTTAAAAAAGAAATAAACCAAAAAAATCTCAATCCAACCGGTTGAGAAATGAGGGTAATTCGTCTAGCAACAAAGCAGACGTATTAACGTATGATAAATGGTAAAAAGAAAAAACCTTTAATTACAACACTGTGAATTACAATCACAATTAAATCTATAAAAGTCCATGTTTAACTTAAAACTTTTAATCCGCAGCTGAGAACATTCCCGTAGTTCTGGCCGAGTTCCCTAATCAAAATTTGAGGCAAATCGGTGAAAAGGTGAAAGTTGTGGTTGGACATACAAACAAAAAACAATATATCTATACAATATAACAAACATTCATGTTTTATCCTGTTTTTCATATATTTATCTACAGGGTGTCCAAAAAAACATGGGAATTTAGTGACGAATTCAATATCGTCTTTGTTATGAATTAGCATTGTAATACCTGATTTCAAAAGTCATAGCATTATTATGCCTACTATAGTTTATTTTATGAAAACGGTGAATGGTTGTAAAGATGTGTCTACAGCCTTTGCAGGATGAACAGTGAAGACGGACAAGTTTACTTTGTTTGTATACTGTAGTTTCCTTGTTTTACTAAGTATAACAACCGTATGCAGTCAATACATAAATAACAAATTGTAAACATAGCAGACGAAAATCTTTCGGATTACAGCTTTCTCAGTATGTATCACTATACTAAATCAAAGAATTATTTGAAAAGACGATATCGAATTCGTTACTGAATTCCCATGTTTATTGGGACACCCTGTATTTGATTTTTTAAATCCATTATATCAAGAACTGATTTTTCTTTTAAACTAAAGAAAGGTGATACCATTATGATTTCACTTAAAAGTTGTATCTATCGTAGCTAACAACTGTTTAACAGAGAAATTAAAAAACAATTAATTCGTTCATAACATAAATCTGTCGTCTTTATCAGTAAAAAATGTATATTTACATTTCTGATTGAACCCTTTTTTCTTTTTACATACTCTAAAGGGGAAGGGTTCTGCCAAGTTATATTCTAATTAGATTAATGTGTCTTTATTCCAGACTTATATATAGCTCAGTATTACATTCCTCAACACAAATAGATTATCAAGTAAAAAAGGTGGCAAAAGAGCACTAGACCAATTATACACGGCGTCACAAGTGTCAAATATAACAAGGAAAACGAAATTTTTTCACATTAGTTGACATGTTTTCCAAGATTAAATAAAAAGCGTAAAAACAGAAACTAAAGAACACATAAAATTGCACTTAAATTTACTGTAAGATAAGCATTTTATTCTAAAATTATCACTATTATTAATAATGTTGTCGGACACAAAAATTAAGCAGACACTTGTGACGTAAGAATATACAGTACACATTCTATTGTAATAGAATATATTTGCTTAAATGTCTGAACAAATACGTTGCCAATAATAAAATTATGGTTTCATGATAAAAAATGTAAGTTTTGAAGGAGTTGTAATTTCAAATGTCCTTTCATTCCATTACACCTTAATCAGATCACGTGAAGCTAAAGTAAACTGCACGTAAGATTGATATCTTATATATGGTTAGTTTGCAGTGGAATCAATAAAATGTGAAAGATCGCCACATTTCTATCTTTAAAAGTACTTAATTCTGATAATTTCTCCCATTGTAGCTTCAAGGAGAAATGCGCAAGTCACTTTTCTAAAGAAACTAAAATTGAAAATAATGAATTTTTAAATGGTTATCTTTCTTGACCGGACAACGCATTTAAGGTTACAGTTGTGAACATTGAAAATTCCACTCTAGATAAGGAGATTCACTTAAGTTACGACTCAAATTCCTTTCAGTCCCATCCTTTCAGAGGTGTACGCATCTTTTGTACTGAAGTGTACTGTCTCTGGGCGGTAATGTAAACACAAGACGCATGTCACAGCCTGACATGGAATCCATCTTTAAAATCAATGAAATATTCTGGTCATAGGAAACTATTATGTGAACTATCAAAATTTTCAAAATTCAATGCTTTTATCCTCCTCGGGTACTAAACGAACACTGATGCAACTATTCTTGTTTACAAATTCCGCCCAGAGAGAACTGTTTTAATATTTACGCAGAGTATACGCAACTGCAATTAACTTTCTTTGCATTATAACCTTGATTCAGTGACACAGACACACAAGCCGATAAACAGAAAGATCACAGGGGTCCAAAGGTCCGGTTGCAAGCTATATAACGTATACATTGATGACAATTAGACCAATTATTTCTCAAAACCAAAAGCTAAAAAGAAGATACTTGAGTGGTTTAATATGTAACATCTCCAGGATTACAAAAAAAGTGGGCAGATAGGCGGATAGGCGGACAGGCGGAAAGGCAGATAAAGCATATAATCAACAAAATAAATATATTTGACGTATTTATATCGTCTCTCTCTATTTTCAATCCTTTTGGAAATTTTTTTTTACATAAATATATATTTGGAATAAATTTTTTTTTCTATATCATACAATAAATAATTAATGCATATGTACATTGTACATATATTATACAATATCATCATAAATAAATATTTACTGAATTCTAGAATAGGATTGATATTTATTACATTGTAGGATAGGATAGATATTTACTATATTTTACGATGGATAGATATTTACTATAATTGTAGAATATGATAGATTTTTACTCTGTAGTAGGGTAGAATGAATATTTTATTGTATTGTGAATTATAGAATTTAAATTAACAATAACAAGCTTACTACATAATATGGAGTAAAATTAAAACTTGGAAATATATATATATATATATATATATATATATATATAGCTATCATGCTATATTAATACTATATTAAATATAGATTGTAATTAAAAACTTTTGCTAATTTTTACATAATAATAATAATAATAATTCATGAGAAAATATCACACTGCTTCATATTTTAAAGAACTGACCAACAAACCAATTAAAAATTGGCTGATTTCAAATCAGATTTTAACAGAAAAATTAATATTCGCAGGAAAAATAAATTTCAAAAATTTCAAAAAGAATAGCAAAAATATGGTTAAAGCTAAAACATAATAGAATTGCAATTACATGGGTAAATAAGGTTGATACTTCATAATATGAATGCAAAAATAGAATTATCGTGACGTGAGCAAGGTAATACGTCTGAGAGGATATATAAATAACAGAGTGCTCAGTAACTAGTGTAAATTAATTTGATATTCATGATGAATTCTCCATCATGATGTATACTCCGTGGATGTAATACTTATTTGAAATAAATTCAACTCGTCTTTAATACTAAATAATATCTGCCCGTCTGGATGTATAATTATATATGCTTAAAATGCACTTTTAAATCCTAGGAGAAAGAATAACTCCAAAATGCTAAATGCAAGAGAAAAAAATAAATATTAATTAGAAAATTCATCTTAGAAACTTAATTTACACCTTTCAGAATGCATAACGATAAGATGATAATGAATTTTTAAAACATTCTTATTTTGAATGTGCAAGGAATGCCGCGAAACAAATCCAAAGGTTGCATTACATGCATGTTATGAAATTTAGTTTCCAGATGTTAAATTGAGCTAGCAAAAGTTTATAGAAGTAATATTTCAGATGGAAACAGTTTCTATAGAAGCTATATTTTGGATGGCAGAAGTTTAGGCTATGTTTCAGATAGCAGAAGTTTCTAGAAGCTATGTTTCAGCTGATAGAAGTTTATAAAAGCTGTGTTTCAGATAGCAGAAGTTTCTATAGAAGCTAGATTTTAGCTGACAGATGGGTGTCGGGTCATAGAAAGATATTTCATAGATGGACATTTCATAGACAGAATATTTATAGATAGGACATTTCATAGATAGGAAATTGCATAGACGGAGAAGAATTTTCATAGGTAAGGTATCTCATTTTCACATATTCATTTTCGATCTAAACTAATATCTTGTTAGTTGAGACACACACTTAAAAAAAATATTTTTATTCATATTCTTATTCTACGTTAATATGTAAATCTCTAAATATGTCATTAAAATGTTATATTTATGAAATATCCTGTCTATGACATGTCCTATCTATAAAATGTCCTCTCTATTAATTTCTTTTTCTATGAAATGTCCTATCTATGAAATGGCATATCTATAAAATGTCCTGTCTATGAAATGTTTGTAAAATGTCTTATCTATGAATTTGTTATCTAAAAAATGTCCATCTATGAAATGACCCAACACCGACACAGATTCTGGAAATTAGATTTCAACTTAAAAAAGATTCTAGAAGCTAAATTTCAGCTATCAGACGTTTCTAGAAATAAGATTTTAAAAAATCTTTTAAAAACCAGATTTAATCTTTAAAAGATTCTAGAAGCTAAATTTCAGCTATCAGACGTTTCTAGAAATAAGATTTAAAAAAAAGCTTTTAAAACCCGGATTTAATCTTTGAAAGATTCTAGAAGCTAAATTTCAGCTATCAAACGTTTTTAGAAATAAGATTTTAAAAGAGCTTTTAAAAACCAGATTTAATCTTTAAAAGATTCTAGATGCTAAATTTTAGCTATCAGACGTTTCTAGAAATAAGATTCAAGAAAAGTTTTTAGAAACCAGATTTAATCTTTATAAGATTCTAGAAGCTAAATTTTAGCTATCAGACATTTCTAGAAATAAGATTTCTAAAGGCTAAAATTCAGCTGCAGAGGTTTTCTAGAAGCCAGATATCAACTGACAGAAGTTTCTAGAAGGTAGTCATCAGTTGACAAGAGTTTCTTGAAGCTACATAACAGCTGACAGAAGTTTCTAGAAGCTAGATATCAGCTGACAGGACTGGGGTCGAGTAGTGGATAGCCAGCAGGTCAAATCATACCAGGACACCATACCTGGAAAAAATAATTTGATTATATATCTTTTAATCATTAGATACAAAATATAAAATATGGGCTTAAAAACAAAATATAATTTATAGAGAGGATATTATAGTAATATAATAGTTTGAACATGGTGAAAAATTACAGAAAATAATTAACTCCAAAATGTACGAGTATTTATTTTGCAATAAAGTATTACGGGTGTATAATTGCAAGTTTTTGCAATAAAGTAAACAAAGGGCTCTATTTAAAGTATAAATATATATATATATATATATATATATATATGTGTGTGTATTTGTTTGGGAAGAAAAATTGGCAAATTTAGTCTCATAAATTTTTTTCCCGTATCTGTTTTTAACCAACCCATCCTGATATTGACGCTTTAAGCCGATTGATTTTTCCTTTATTGACAAAAATATCTTTGATTGATTGATCTTTTAAACTTTAGTAAAGCAACATTTCTTCACACATTACTAAAAGAAAAGAGATTTCACATATATTCCTGTTATAAATGGTGAATTAATCACTAAACTTGTATATTTTTGCTTTGTTCCTATTGTACGTCATATATACGTCATAATTTATAAACCAGAATCGGGCCAGGTAAGGTACCACATCAAATGTTTTCAACATGAATAAATAAATTTAGAAAAATAATCATATATAATAAAACAAGACATTCATATTTATGAATGTTTTTGTGGACACTCATGGGTGGACGCCGGGCCCTTCAGCTAGTAAATATATAAATGAATAAATATTTGTCAAATTAATATCAATTAATTAATAAACCTGCAAGGATGAAAATATGCCAGAGCTGGTGTGAAGCCCCACATAGATCTACTTGACCAGGTGGAACTATTCTCTCAGGGATACGAGATATATAGAAGAACAGTCCTAAACCACCCAATCCGTAGGGAACCAGGATCCAGAAGATTTTCTGAAAAATCAGACTGAAAACTCTAGTTTTTAATTCCATATCAGTTCAACCTGATGTCGTAGATCAAATAGTCTTATGTTTGAAGTTTCAAAGGTTTATACCACCAGGTTGCAGATAATTTATAAATATGTCTTGGAATTCCAAGTTTTTCTTAATAAAGAAACTGAGTTCTTGCGACATACTCAAATGTTCTAATCCTTATATCTTTGAAATCTGATGGTGTAAAGCTTTTATGTTTCAAATTAAGGTTATCTGAATGATCTAACAGAATATAAAGTTTGAATTATCAAAGGTCCGCGAAACCGAGTTGTAAAAATATAGGGATAAGAAAAGCAGAGTTTGTGGTAAAACCTCAGTTTCTTTTCCCTCCAATAAAATCTCCCATTCTTATTGTACAACCTAATGCAGTTCTTAGAAAAGTTGATCATAGAATGATAAAATTATAAAATTTTGTTACCTTCTTCTCATTTTACAGAGTCCACTGTTGAGTTTAATATAGGAATGTTAGGGGCTATTTTACACAGAAATGTGTCCAGGGGGGCTCAACGCCTTTTTGTTTTTTTTTTGGGGGGGGGGAGGGGCCGGAAACCAAAGATTTTACTGTGTGTCCATCTGAGTAATGTTTATTACCTGTGCCGTCGTGTTGTTATGTACAAGTGTAGGTGATATACTCAGCCAATGAGCTAGAGGAGCTACAGCGTACATAGAGAGGGCTAGGAACAGGTATAGCTCCACCCCGCCCTTTTGCCGCTTCTCCCTGTTCCACCAGCGCTGCAGAAACACCAAGGAGAACAGGATGGTCACCAGGAGCAGATGAAACAGCAACCAGGACGGGAAACAGGAGAAGTTTGTTACAATAATTCTAAAACAAACCAGATGTTATTCAATCTAATTTAAGAATTAAAACAATCAAAATCTAAATTTTTCATTAGTTTCTTTATTAGAAAGTGGCCATTTGTTCTTTCTATCATTCAAAGTTTTGACAAGCAAAGATTTCTCTCAATTTCCTCTTTAAATTAGTTAAACCTGAAATAAGTGCCCTAAAGTGGTCGTAAACTGTGAGAAGTACCTGAAGCTGTTGCTGACCTGGAATAATTATCACAAAGTTCTGCTTACTAAAAAGAAGTGCCGTAAACTGCTGCTTACCAAAAGGAAGTGCGTGAAAATGTTACTAAAATTGCCTGGTAACAGTACCGAGAAGTGCGGCCAATCTAAAAAATAGCAAAAGGTGCTATTGGCCTTGAATAAGTGCTGCAAAGTGCTGATAACCTATAAGAAGTGTCTACAGGTGCTACAAACCTGGAATAAATGCCACAAAGTGATGATAACCTTGAAGAAGTGTCTACAGGTGTTACAAACCTGGAATAAATGCCAAAAAGTGATGATAACCTTGAAGAAGTGTCTACAGGTGCTAGAAACCTGGAATAAATGTCACAAAGTGATGATAACCTAGAAGAAGTGTCTACAGTTGTTACAAACCTGGGAAAAGTCCCCTAAAATGCTGATAACCTAGAGTGTCTACAGGTACTACTAACCTGGAATAAGTGCCACAAAGTGATGATAACCTAGAAGAAGTGTCTACAGGTGTTAAAAACCTGGGAAAAGTCCCCTAAAATGCTGATAACCTAGAGTGTTTACTGGTACTTCTAACCTAGTATAAGTGCCCCAAAGTGCTATGAGTATCCCTGAATGATCCGCTTCCTTCCACTTATATTTTACTCTTTCGCTATGGCAAAGGAATGTGTGGAACATACTGCTGAGGATCATACAGATCTAAATAAAGCAGATCTAAACAAAACAAAATTATCTTTAACATCTTACAGTTACACAATATCTGTGCGCAAATGATTTTAAGCACTTCTAACTGAAGTTTTAAGTTAAATTCTGTTGAAATAAAGAATTAACACTTCTCTAAGTATAGTCATCTATGTAATAAAGCTCTTCGCTAATTTATATATATATATTTATTTATATATATATATTTATTTAATAAAGAAGTCTTTAACCAAGCAAGGTCGTACACAGGGGGTCAATGGGGAAGTGCCCCCTAGACCTCGGTGGGGGGGGGGCGAAAAAATTCCTTTTCGCGCATATTTCATCTAGAACTCAGAGCTATAACATTATAAAATCTGAAACTAAAAGGTGAAGAGCATAACAAAATTTGTTTGCTGTTTTTTTCTGCTAGTTTTGTTAGAAAGAGAGATAAAGTAGTACTTGCATGGTAATTGGACTGTATGTGTATCTTTAAAGTATCAAGAAGCCAAATGTTTTGAATTTACAGTTCAAATTTTGTCCCCTGTGAGCTCCAAGGGGGCAAAAAAAATTCCGCTTCGTGCATATTTCGCCCTGGAACACAAGATTTGAATTTTTCAAAAATTGAATATTTTTTTCAAAATAAAAAAAATGTTATTCCACGGGCAACGCCGGGCTCAACAGCTAGTTTTTTCATAAGATAGCTGAAAGTGAATGAGTGCTAAGTGTAGTTCAATAATTTTTTACGCATATATCTAAATGACATTTCATCCTCTAATGCTACATTGAGTATTATGATCTATTTGATGATTCCAGAATATGCAAATTCTGACGCAAAAATGGATTAGGATTTGAAGGCGGACAACAACAGCGCTCTGCTGTTCACATCAAGGGCTGCAAAATGAACTCTAAGCATTAAAACTCTTAAACAGCGCGTATATACATAGCAAAGTGCATCCCCTGCCGAATGGTGCATCCCCTGCCGAATGGGGTTGAAGTTCTAGGTTTTATTTCTCCAGGGGGGAAGAATACCTGATAGGTTACAAGCTGGATACAGACAGCAATAAGATCAGCAGAACTCCTTTATACAAACCTTATCGTTAAGATGACATCTTAAATACTTTTTTAAAAGAAGAACTTAGAATGTTAGATATTTGAGCTAAAATCAGATATATTTCTGTTATCTCGACGTAAAAAAATCATCTCTTATCAAGAAACAACAGATTTTATACTGGTAACTTGCAGGTAACAGACTTATTGGATAGCAAGAAGTGATTGAACCATGTAGACGTATTTGTGTTCGTCATATTAAGAGAAAATGGTTCGACTTCATCTATGCGGCTCAAAGCTATTCATTAAATCTGCTTCCTTGTTTGCAGCTAGTCCAGGTATTTCCATAAATATCCCTATTTCCTCCCCTCGTACAGGGGTTCCCAATAAATATGAGAATAAATGCGGGAACGAGATTGATGTAACTTTTTAAAAAATGATGTAAATACTTAAAATTTTCTTTACAAAAAAAGGTGCTGGAATTTTTTAATTCCTGATTTTTTTGGTAAAACTTGTTAATTAGGTTAAAAAGAAGTGAGAGAGCCAGCCTACTTTGTATCTTTTATTAGTCTCCAAGTTAAAGTGGAATCATGACAACCAAGAAAATATTGACAAATCCAACCATCTCTGGTATTCGATCAACACTACATTTAAATAGAGTAGCACGCTCAATTCACAATATCACTTTTAAAAGTTTTATTTGGTCAATAATGAGGAAGATATTATTGTATTTCAAGGTTGAAAAGTGTTCAATTCTGAAAATTGTTCTGCAAAGTAGAAATGCGGAAGTCACTTTTGTGGGAAACCATAATTGAAGATATATATTTTGTTAAATTTCTAATTTCTAATATTTTCTAATTTCTAATTCTGAATTGGAGTGAATATACCACTTTATGAATTGAAGGTCATTTGAAAGAACATTCTACAGTCCCTTTTAACAAATTTGAAAGTACATTCTACAGTCCCTTTTAACAAATTTGAAAGTACATTCTACAGTCCCTTTTAACAAATTTGAAAGTACATTCTACAGTCCTTTTTAACAAATTTGAAAGTACATTCTACAGCCCCTTTTAACAAATTTGAAAGTACATTTCCAATTCAAGCCCCTGCACTAATATAGTAAATGGTAGTTTGTATAAACCCTGATAAGGTTTCCTGTTGTGAGGATGGGATTGAAAAATGTTGATGCAAAGAAGAAAACCAAAATAAAGGAATCCAAGGAAATGGCTCCAAATGTTCACAGTCTCGTTGTGAAGTCGGAAAACACTGAAAAAAGAGAATTTGTTTTAGTTTTTCTTGAAAGTAGAAATTCTCTTAGATCAATACAAAAATGAATTATATAACAATGTGGCACAAAATGTAAAGGCTTTTTAAGTGTATCCATATGATTTCTGCCTTCATTACATTCTATTTCTATGTTTATTAAATAACCCTAATAACCTTTTTATGCATTCCGTGTATCCGAGTGTTGTCCTGTATCCGGTATAGATAGAATCCTCCCGGACAAAGACAGGAACATCTTTCCCCTTGAGCAGGACGTGTTTCTTCTCCAGGGTTCCAGCTCCGGGTTGGTGAGTGCAGTGCACGGGTTTAGTGAAACAATTAAAGGTTTGCATAGTGTGAGTATATAGTGCGAAGAGAAGGAGGGTTGTATCTATAGTAAAGTATAAGACCGAACTGCACCAATTCTGCAGGCCTATAAGGAAAGCAGCTCTACACGTCAGTCTCTGGCCTCGGAATTGTTTAAGAACAATCCTGTGTTCAGAACTTCAATTGTTGTCAAGTAAACTAAGACTTTTAAAATCAAAATATTGCTTTGTTCACCATAAAACGCGGAACGATTGTCGTCTTCGCTCTATCTTATAATTTAGATAGACGAAGACAACATTCATTCTACTATTTTAGTTAAAACTGCAGAATTTGGATTTTCTGTTAAACCCTAAATGAACCATACATCGAAAGAATTTATCAAATCTCTGTATTTACTAAAATAAATAAACAGCCATGAATAAGCGGGAACAGTTTAAAGAGCTCCATATAATCATTTAATTGAAAATCTTAATATCTGCAACATTCCATTATCAGAAAGTGAAGAATACGACATTTGATGAATTCTTTCGATGTATGACTTGTTTAGGGTTTAACTGTATGAAATTAGTCGTAAACAGAAAAATTGGCAGTTTTAATGTAAGCATATATTCGGACTTCTAAAAATAACTATTATAATCATTACTTGTGCTGGTAAATTACTTTATTTAGATAGCCAAGACTAGGGAAAAAGTCAATTTTTTAGTCCAGTTTTCATCTGAAAATAGTGTAGAACAAATTTTAGTTTGACAAGGTTATATTTAAATTATTAGATATTTTAGATATCCATGGAACAACGAGAAGTTTATCTTAATAAAAATCCTTTGTCAAGTTTTCAATGTTATTTTCTGTGCTTGCACATTTTGCACGATACCAATGATTATAAAAAGATTTACGGGTAAACTTAAATTCAAAATGATATTAATTAGTTTCTGACAAGTTTAGTTTGAATAAATATGTATTAACCTATATTGATAGATATTACGTAATTAGAGGACGATTTCTCATTTACAAACTAACAACACAATCTTGTTCATAGTTGAACACACTGTAAGTCAATATGTTTTGGTACTCAACTATACAGATTAAACCACATATATGTGTGCATTCAGGCGCACAACTAGACTTTTTTTTAGGGGGGGGGCAAGCCTTCTTAAGGGAGGTGCATGCCCCCCTTAATCAGGCTGGGGAGGCCTTGCCCCCACCTAGTTGCGCGCATATAATTCAAATACAGTAAGAATCAGAAAACTTAAATTATCGTCGTCTTCTTTCTTGTTTTAATGTAAAATGTCTCTTGGAGTTTGATAATTTACAACTGAACGAAAGGGACAGGGTGTCCAACGAAACATGACAGTACCAAGACAACTTGAAGGTTATCAAAATTTGGTTCAGATTTCGACAACTTTGGTTTTATTTAATAAAATTTAAATCTGAATTTAAATTCTTAATATCTTCTTAATATTGACAGCACAACAAAGATAGATCATATTTCGGAAATGCTAGAAGTAGGAGAATTTTGTGATTATTGTTTCAAGAATCATGCATGTTAAAGTAGGTTGATGACTGAATTTCAAAGATCACAGACAACTTTACAGTCGTCTGGCTACTGTCATGTTTCGCGGGACACCCTGTACTTTTCAAAAGGTGCCTGAATTACAAAGAACAATGACGACATTTAATCCGGGTTTTCTGGAAAAATTATTGTTGTTTGTTCTTTCTTTTAATTCAAAATGAAACCGTGCGGGATTATATAATTATGTAGTATTAAAACAATTAACACCAAAAAATACCAGTCTTGGGATTCCCAAAATGTAGTCATACCAATTTTTTTACTTTAAAAATTGACGGAGATGTTAGGAATTTTGTCCAGATTTCAGATTATTGAAAATCAACAAAACTGTTCAAATGTTTTAATATCTCCGTCATTTTTAAAGATACAAAGAAGGCAGACCACATTTTGGAAAACTCATTAGACTTTAAATCTTTTTTTGATGCTGCACTTAATGTCATTTATCATTTAACGGAAAGCAAAGACGATATTCAAGTCGTTTCTCAATTCCCATGTTTATTGGGACACCCTGTATAAACGTGTAACTGCAGTTGTGTCTAGAATTGTGCCCCAAACATTTTCGGTAATACAAGAATTATATCTGCAGTTACAAAATTTAAAAAAATTCTCGGCAGTATTTTTCATACAAAGAAAAAAAAGATGACGTCCATTCCGCGTTATCATGATTTAAGAGAGGTGAAATATCGTTCAATCAAACTAAAATCAAAAACTTCATAATTTTGCACATTCTAATTAGTACAAATGAACATATTTTAGTGCAAGGGAACAAAGAAATGTTCAATCAAACTAAAAATTAAAATTTAACCATTTTGCCCATAAATTATAATAAGCAATTGAACTTATTTTAGAACAAATTAACAAAAAAAGGCTTAATCGAACTGAAATCTAAAATTTCACCATTTTGCACATTTATCCTACTTAGTACAAATGAACATATTTTAGTGCAAATTAACAAAAAATGTTTAATCGAACTAAAATTTTAAATTTCAGTGTTTTACCCATAAATTTTAATTATTTAAGGAACAAACCATTAGTACGATTTAACAAATTTTTTGTTTGAAATGTTCATTTGCAATTGAACAAATATTTACAGAAAAAAACATTAGTCCGTTTTAACGAATTTTTTTTTGGAGACAACTTGAAGGTCGTCTTTGATTTCGATATTAGATAAAATGACAATAAATGTATCATGAAAAGATTGTATGTCTTCTGAGCTCATCAAAATGTGGTCTGCCTTCTTTATAATTTAAAATTGACATCAAACGTCAAACATTTTAAAAATTTAATAATTGGGAATTTGGGCAGATTTTTAACTCAAGTCAATTTTGATCATGCAGAAATGGTAGACCACATTTTGGAATTTACAACTCTATAGTAGTTCTAGATGTATAGTGCCGCACGGAACAAAGACGATATAGAAGTTGTCACTATTCCCATGTTTATTAGAACACCCTGTACGACTAGTTTCTTGAACGGTTAAATTAATTTTTCCAACTACGTACACAATACTATTATTTTATATCCAGCTAAAACTCCGTACATGATCCGTACATGCCGAACAAATAAACAATCAGTCTATACTATAGTATCTTTATTTATGGCGAAATAAATTAAAGGATGGATGAAAGACAAAATTTATTTTAACAAGTTTTAAATTAATAATTTGAGTCCTTGGTTAAGTATGCCTGGTAGCGAACAATAATTATTTACATTTAAACTAAATATTATATTTGTATATATATTATATATATCACCAGATCTAAGTTAAAATGGATCCGTATATTGCGGACATGCTATTTATCTAAAAAAAAAACCTAGAATACTTTTCAATCATACTCTAAAACTACCATCCATTCAGTTCAACCCCAAAAAATATATAATTTTAAATTTTGTCTGGTTACTTTAATATTTCACAAACTTGAAGGGTCATTTCACTCCTGGAGCTGAACACCAGGGTTGGTTTAATGTTTATGTAACAAGGTTTAATAAATAATGTTGAGTATCTCTAGTTGAATCCTATTGGATGGATATATCTTTGTGTCCGGGAGAAGAAAGACCATTTAATTTTTCCATTCCAAGATTATCACAGTCTTCTAACATCTTCCCACTTTTCTCAGGTTCAAAACTTGTTTCTATATATTGTTGGTTTGTTGGGTCAAGAATCTGGAGATGTACTCTCCCCTCCTCCGGGATATCAGATTCTACCAGTTCTTCTGTTGCTTCAAACGCCGAGTCTGTGGAATCTGATTTCAATAAATCCTTTGTCTTTTCAGAATTTGGAAGAGAGATTGTTTGATCCCCATTCATAAGTTTAGAAGGAAGTTCCTGTATATTGTCAGGACTGGATTGTTTAATGGGGAACGGAGCAGTATCTTCTACAGGCGTCTCAGCTTCAACCCCTGAAGATTCATCAGCCTCTACTACCGAGGATTGGTCTTCTATGGTTGATGCTTCACCAATTTTTTCTAAAGGTTCATCAGATTCTCCTTTAGAGGGTTTATCATCAGATTCAATAACTGGGGATTCAAAAGCAACTCCATTGACAAGAGGTTCAGCACCTCCTGATGTTTCAGACTCTACGGCTGTGGAATTCTCTTCTCCACCTGATGGTTCAGGAAGAGAAGAGTTCTCAGAGGAGATCAAAGAGGACGGTTCAGTCTCCTCTACTAGTTTCTCTGGTAATTCAGATACGGATACTTTGGGGGTTCCAAGTTGGGAAGATGGAACAGAGGTTTCTTCTGTTCCAGGTTGGGAGGATGGAACAGAGATTTCTTCTGTTCCAGGTTGGGAGGATGGAACAGAGATTTCTTCTGTTCCAGGTTGGGAGGATTGAACGGAGATTTCTTCTGTTCCAGGTTGGGAGGATGGAACGGAGATTTCTTCTGCTCCAGGTTGGGAGGATGGAACGGAGATTTCTTCTGCTCCAGACGGATCAGAGATATCTGTTCCAGATATCTCCGAAACTTTAACATCTTTCACCTTGGCATTCGCGAACTCATCACCTAAAAATAAAAATTGTGATGTACTTCAAAAGCTTGAAAATTTTCATAATTTCTCAATGATCAGGGTGAAACTGACATACCTCCAGGTCTGAGAACTAGATAGCTGAGGATATCTGATAAAGAGATTACTCCGCAAACCACGTTATCATCGTCAACAATAACAAGTCTATGAACCTGAAATATATCTTGATAAATATCTAAAGTCAGCTTAGTTAAGATATCTTTGAGTAAGGCAATAAAGGCAATTTCTTGTGTTAAAACTTTTCCCTATTGATTGCAAAGTCTTAAAGGAAAAATTATGAAAATGTTTTTTTCGCACAAAAGCAATTTCTGAACTCCTATGAAAAAGACTGAAACTATTTTTGATCTAATAATTAAAGAAATGGTTCAGCTCAAATAATGAGCAAATATTAGAAATTTTAAAAACTTTACATTGAAAGTTTTCTTAATTAATTAGAAAGTTTAAATTGAAAATGCTGAAACTTTTCTTTCTTTGACAGAATAACATTTTATTAATAATTATACCTCTGCTTTCACAATTTTATTCATCACTTCGAAGAGAGTCTCTGTCTCTCTACACTTGTGGACCCCCTCGAACCACTCGTTCCTGTGCTTGTTCGCCTCCTTCAGGGTAACATCCAGGTTGGAATATGTTTTCTCAGCTGCCAGGTTTATCACGTCAAATTTCGCGTAAATATCAATCAGTCGATGCTGAAAATATACAATATTTCAGATCGGTGCTTTTGCAAATCCTTGCTAATTTTCCTCGACTGCTACTCCAAATATTTTACTAATTTTGCAGAAATTATGAAGAGCAAAAAGAGAAGAAGTTGACATACTCTCCAAATATGCAATTAACGTTAAATATAGGAAACTATCCTTTCAAGTTTCAAGTTTTTTAAGATAATATAAAACGTTAATGGGAATGTAAACGTACTTCCAAGTAACCCTTCATTTATTAAGAATGACATGTCAGATTCACAGCGGTATCTTTAAAAGCTTTCAATGGAAAAGAATGAAAAAGATATCCATGTTTTTAACTTTAAAGATTGATTATTTTTGATTGTGGTTTCTCTGTAAAGTGACTTGCATTGTAGGATCTTGTCAGAGCTGAACGCATTTAAAGCTAGAGAAACGACGATATCTTCTTACTAAAGATCACTTGAAATTACACTGAAAGCCTCTTTAAGTTAAAAAGGATCAAATTTACCTGATCGTCTACTATAGGGAGAGCTGAGACACGCTTGTTTACGAACTTGTGCAATGCTTCTATTATCCGGGTATTCTCGTGGGCCACCTACAATATTGCATCAAAATATGTATATTAAATTCAATATTTAATGGGTTTTACTAAACTAAGAATGCGAGCAACTTGAATTTTCATAAAATGCAGTGATAACCAGAGAACAATTGAATGAAGACGACATTACAGCAATACTTAGGCGTATTTGTCTCACAGCAAATAGTTTTTCTATACACTTTTTAAAGTTATAACTTCATTCTAAAATTCGTCTTCTTATTTCAGAGTGTTCTGGTTATCACTGAACATTCTATTCAAGTTTTACGAGTTTGAACGCAGAATTTACACTTATCAATAACCTACTCCTGAACCAAAAATTAAGTCCATAAGAACAATTTTTATTTATCAATTGCAACATTAGACAATTAAAAAACAAATAGTTATTTATTTAAATTTTTTTTTACAAAAATCTGGAAAGTCGTAATTTTGTAATTTTATGTTTCGGGATAGGCGTATACGAATCAAAACGTTGCTCACTTAACCTTTGCTTGAGCAAAAAATTGAATAAAAGTATTTTGCTGAATTAAGCAGAATTTAAAACTAAAAAGATGCAAAAAAAACGACGATTTATAACCCATAGCTAACTCGGAAAATAGTGAGTTCCAAGAATTAGGTGGACAGTTCCTTTAACATTGATATTTCGCGTACCTCGATATCTGTGTATGTTCCAATATCCAGTTCCCGAATAGATTTATCCAGTACAGTACAGTCAGGCAGATCCTCAATCTGATATTTATAAATATGAATAATTTATCATTGTGGTATCTAAGTCAAGAATCCCACCAAACCTATTCCCGAGGCAAGAGAAATGATTTAATATAATGAATTCATATAAAAAGTTTACTCAAAAATTAAAACAAAAAAAAAAATCCATCTCGACCTTCTTAGACCAAACAGAAAATCAGATTTTCTAATCCTTATATCTTGAGAAGCCAATGTACAGATATTTTAAACTATGAATTTTGTTAGATCAAATAATCTTAGTTTGAAATAACAAAGTTTACACAACAGGTTGCAAAAGTATAAGGAATGAAAAATTTGAGTTTATGGCAAAATTCAATTCTTATTTAGTATTAATCTATCTTATCTATGCATAAAAAGTATTAATCTCTGTTTGTCTGTTTGTTTGTATGGATTTCCGATTATAAAGCAAGAACCAATTGAACAGATTTAATTCAAATTTTGATTGAGGAGCTCTGTAAATCCCATGGAATATTTTTAGGTTGGTTAGAAAACTTTAGGCCGAGTAAGTTAATTTTTACAGGAAAACCTTTTTTTCCGGGGAAAGCTGGGTTCACAAGCTATTTAAAAAAAATCAGGATGTTTTCAATTTTAATTTAAAATATTGCAATATGATTCAAAATACTTACGTAGAGGAAAAGGAATCTGAGAATCCTCTTGTGCGTCAATATATACAGAACATTTCCGGTCAATGCGTCAATTACAGGCAATCTAAATATTTTTATTTTAATAGCTGGCATTTTAAATATTTTAACTTTTTTCACTGACCTATGAATCTTGTTGTGTATTAGCGTTTTAATGGCGTCATACAGACTTGCGTCAGGATGAATATAGATTAACTCCTTTGCGTCATGCAGTACATCTAAAATAAGATATTATCAGTGTTAAATTTGGCGAACTAACAATATATAAGTTTTTTGAATATTTCGATATGAAAGACGAATATGAACATCATTTTGCAATACTCACAATTTTGATTCGAGAAAAGTTTAACTGTAGACCAAAGAGAACCTAACAGCGGAATAAAATTCCAATGGAAAATTGCCAATGTTTAGCACTCTGTCAGGAAAAAAGTGTTCTGCATAAGGTTGTATAGGACAGATGTTAAATATAAACACAAAATTTTCAGCTTAAAGTTCTAACTCTTTCAGGACGGAAAATCTGACCGTTATGGGAAATAAAGTCTAAAAATTGACAAGGTTAAAACTTACTTCTCCAGGTGGATAATCTATGCTCCTCAAGCTCCTCCATCTCAAGCGTCGGGGACCTGTAGTTCATCTCCAGGATACGGATAAAGTCGGTAATCGTCAACATCCCGACAAACCTGGAGAATACAAGTGTTTACTCCTTACGTGTTTGAAAATGTATGTAATGCAAAAAATGTTAAAAATTAAATGAGACTTACAAGTGAATTGAACAAACTGCAGTCTGCAGTACACTTAGTATAATAATGAATTAGTGCACATTTGTTTTGTTCAAATATTCAATATTTTGAAATCAGTGACTCTCTGTTTAAAGAGCTCATTAAAATTATTTACAAAGATAACCTTGAAATGTTGATCCAAGGATTGATAATGGTAAATAAGTTTATAATTATGCAAGGTGTAAAAGATGTTAAGACTGCATTTAGTTTAGTTTAGTTAGATGAACTATTATAAAGCCTTTTATAAAAATGGATGAAATGTTGAAAAATCGACGAACTTGTTGCGATGAAAATTTAGTTCAGTAAAAAAATTGTAGAATTTGGCAAAAATTTACTTTATCTGTCTGTTATTTTTTTAATTCTAATGAGCATTAAAAAAAGTATCTAAGTTCAGCAAAGTGAATAAGTTTTTTTCCAGAAACTCAGATTTGTAAATTTGTTATCCCTTGTTTGCAACCCATTCCCCGTATGTCGTAAACCTTTGAAATTTCAAACTCTGTTAGATCAAATAGGCAATAGATTGAAATATCAATTTTTTTTACAGCATCAGGTTGCAAAGATATAGGGATCAAAAAATGTCTTTCTCATTTGAATTTTTTTAAAAAGTTTACTGAGATTCAAAACTGAGTAAACAGAGAGGCGGAGGATATTTATGGGTCCATTAGAGGTTATAATAGGGTCGGGTGGAGGTCAAAAACAGAATTAAATTCTCACATACCTTTGCTTGACACTGTCCCAGAGGGGGGCCGCCCTAACCCCATTATAAACCAGAGCAAAGAACGCTTTCTTGACCAGGAGTTGAGTATCGAAGACGACAAGCTTGGCTGAGGTTGGGATGAGGTCGTAGCACTTGTGGAATCCGAAGAACTTGACGAATATCTGGGTCTCGTCGTGCTCTAGAATATATGTTAGGTAAATATATGACACAGAAAAGTTTTATTTGAAAATTTGCTTAACATTACATTTTATCTCGGGAGGGAAAAGTTTAATGTTTAGATAAATTTAATTTTGTTTTTATAAAAAATTTATATTAATGAAAGTGCAAAGACAGATTTAGGAAGGTAATTAACGCTTATGTGTGAACGTTTTTGTGGAATTTTGCTGTCATGCTCAATCATTTTACTAGAATTAATCATATTTATAAACCAGTACATGATATAATTATATGTATTGACGTATGTAATATTGATAATTGTCATGATCTGTCAAGGTCAAGTTTTTTTGTCAACCTGTAAAAAATAATTTCTGTTATTAATTTTTTAAATCCCCGTCAAACTTAAGTTAGATCAAAACTTGTACATTTTTAATCCTAAAACCTCTTATTAGCTATTAAAAAGAACAAAAAAGTTTTGAATTTCACATATTTAACCGAATAAATTTGCTCTTCTGCTTGTGCGAAAAATCAAAACTATAGGATCTACGAGGTCACAAAGTCAAACAACGATTTCGCAGATATTTGACCTTTTATTTTGTTTAGATGCGAAAGAAATTACAGTATCAATCAAACTCACGGAAATCCATAAATCCTGTAACTGAAAGTTCACTTCTTTCTGAACCGGTCATATTAGCTGTACCATGCTTTAAAGTAGGCTAGGTTAGGTTATAGAATGACCTGCAGCGAAGCTTATTATCTCTCTGGATAGATCTCGCAGTTCCTGATCTATGGGACCCCATTCTTTAATCTGATCAGTTCGATACACCTCCTGGAGAATCAACAACCCTTCAAGGGACTACAACACCCCCCCCCTCTCTCACACTATTTTTTTCCGTTTATCATAGAAGGAAGCGGAGATTCGTTATCGACGAATTTTATTAAGTAGCGGGGCATAGAAACAAATATGTCTGAAATCCAATACTCTTAGTTAGGCAGTTCTTTTCAGACTGAACGCGACCTGGAGAAATTCAAGATTTATAAAAACAAATTTAAGGAAACCAGGGACTGAAATTAGAACGGCCTAATAAGATAAGAAACAAAATATATCGAGAAATATCGTAAATAGAATATTTAATTGTAGAGAGCCTAATAAGAAAATATAAGAAATTAGGATATTTCAATAGAAAGAAATAGAGAATGAATTTTAATGGAGTAGAATATAAAGAAGAGACTATCAGCCACCATATATATAAAGAGTAAGGTATCCGTTACACTATAGGTAAAGAGTAAGTGTAGGATATCGGCTACCATATATATTATGTATATGAAGAGTAGGATATAAAGAAAAGATATAGTATATCAGCTTATCCATATATTTATGAAGACTGAAAATTAGGACTTAATGATTAGGGTATCAATTGTACTTCATATCTATGGATCGAGTAGGATATTAAGAGATAAGGAAGTGAAAAGTAGGATATTAAGAGATAAGGAAGTGAAAAGTAGGATATTAAGAGATAAGGAAGTAAAAAGTAGGATATTAAGAGCTAAGGAAGTGAAAAGTAGGATATTAAGAGATAAGGAAGTGAAAAGTAGGATATTAAGAGATAAGGAAGTGAAAAGTAGGATATTAAGAGATAAGGAAGTGAAAAGTAGGATATTAAAAGATAAGGAAGTGAAAAGTAGGATATTAAATAAAGATTGTTGGTTTGAACCTCCTCGACATCTCCGAACGTGAAGCCCAAAGCATTAGAGTAATAATGGAGACAAAGCACTCTAGCTTGAGCGGCGGATAGCCGTGTAAGCGCCATCTTTAATCAACATAACTAGTTAAACTTCTCCAATAGTAGATCACTGGCTTCAGAGCAAACAAATTCACAATTTTTAAGTTCCAAGAAGATGATGTATTGATGTGTCAACATGCTGTAATTTTACAGCAAGACATAAATATTCCTTTAAACAGTCATTTTCTCTAAAACCAAACATCTTTATTTATCTTATATATTGCAGATTCTAGTTTGAAAGATATGAAAAAACTGCTGTGCTTGAAGATGGGTCACTTATTAATAAATTCATCGAGTTCTTAAAATAGTTTCAGTCGGGGAAATACTTGAATTTCATTTCATTTTTTTAAATTCAAAAATTAAAAGTTTTTGGAGTTTTTCGATTAAAGGCCATGGCAATGCCCTCAATATTTCCCTTTTTTAAATGTTTTTACCAGCAAGCTTTCGAGTTACCAATTTGCTCCCTCCCTTGCCATTTTAGGATGACAAAATAAAATAAGATGATGAAATCCTGTGTACGCCCGTAATTTGTGTGTGATCATTGATCAGATGTGAAGTATGCCGCTACGCACTAATACTTTGTATTTTACAAGGAATCTATAGATTTCTCAAGGAGAATGTTATCCCCAGAAAGAAGTTGGCTAGACTAAGGATAGAAAGCTGAATTGAGGAAAGTAGGATATGAAGTGGAGAGGATAAAAAACGTTTAACGAACACAGGACAGATTCAGGGGGAGGAGGGGAGGTCTACTGCTTAGATAACCTTTTCTTAAATTTCTATAAAACACGTATTAAAGATAAAATGTGCCCCATCTCCTCATTACTGGGCACTGGGCCCTGGAGTTCCCTGTCTATCCTTGTATCATAACCTGCGCGACATGGTCAGCTTACCAACGATCTGAGCGTGCGCAGTAGAAAACATAGTTGATGCCTTTCCAGGTAAATATTATTCAAAACATTAAATAAAAAGATGAATAAATTTGTCTGGATAGTTTACAAAACATATCTTGTTGACGTTGGACGCCATAAGTTACAGACTTTCTTATAAACTATATATTAAAGAGACAGTTAACGATTTGCTGTTTGGACTCGTTAATTCTAGAAACACGTCTCATCCCCCCCCCTTTAAACAATACCTTCCTTTCTTGTTCAAGAAAAGAAAAGCAAAAAGAAAGTAAAGTTCAAAGTTCACTAATTTACAACAACAAATCGTTGTCACAACGGATATTAAATTTCTTCAGTGTTTCCGTGTTCCCAACAGCACACTATAGGTTCTAACATAAGGATAGCTACTGAATTCACAGAACCGATGCATTGACGTTATTATTCTCAAATGACGTAATTAAACCCAAAAATCAAGATAAAACAACATATTGACTCAATTCAAGTCTTATTTTTTCAAGTGTCTCGTATAGTATTCTAGATTCTACGCCACAGGTCGAGATTTCTCAATCTTTAGTTTTTGCTCATTGCTAGCTCCTGATTTTAATATCTTCTAAATTAATTGTGAACATGTTCTCTTTGTGTACATCGTAAAACAAAACAAAAATAATTCGCGGATTTTCACAACAAATTTCGTGGATTTTCAAATTTTAAAAAATTTAATGACGATCGAATTTTGATGGAGACAAATATTTGAAATTTTGAACATTCATAAACCTTCCCTGGGGTCCCTAGATGTCCCACAAAAAATTTGGGCCCGATCAGTTCAGCCGTTTTGACGTTTATTGGATACAAACAGACAAGCCAAATTCATATATAGATAGAGTTGTTATCACTGTGCGTCTGTTTGTTTGTCCGATGATAATTCAAAAAAAACCCTGGACCGATTTGCCTCAAATTTTGATTAGGGAACTCTGGAGAGCCACGGGAATGCTATTAGCTTAGTTTTGAGATTTTAAGCTTAGTGGGTCGACTTTGATGGTGAAAATTTAGTTTCCCTGTAAAATCGTTCAAGTGCGGGTAAACGGCGGTAGTAACTTTTATTAACCTGGGCAGTGCTGGGTTCTCAAGGTAGTTTTCTATAAAGTAGTACTTTGCATCTTTTCTTAATTTTTTTGCGTAACTGCACGTTCGGTGGCAATATATCTTTTAATTTTCAATATCTTAAAGTAAACATCAAACAAGTTTTAAAGTTCAAACTTATTTGCAATAGACATTTGGCAAGAGAAAGTAAGTATTCAACAAGTACTAGAAGTACAGTTCAAGGAGTACAAGAAGCTGAAGTAGTACATGAGTACAAGAAGAAGAAGCAGTTCATCAGTACAAGATTAGAACTAAATTTGTTTATATTTGGAAAAGATGACTAGGACTAGAATGCATGAAGTAAAAAGAATTTATTAAAAAAAAACAGGTTCAAGAAGGCATTTAAGGTTTAAAATGTCAAGAATCAAATTAGCATATTCAAAAAGTCTGAATTATCAGAAGTGAATCAGAGTGCAAATACAAACAGAAAATTTGATGAGTAATAGTGAAAATAATTTTTTTAAAGATTAGAACAACTGAGAAACTGTTATTAATACAAAAACAAAATATTTGGAAGTGAAATATTAGTACAAAGCAGATTGTACAACGTTGAATTAGTACAATTAACAATAAAGCTAAAGTACAAACAACTTCAAGAGTACATATTTAATAATAATAGAGATAAAGTGATAAACTGCAAAATAGTGCAATTCTAGGAAATATTTTTAATATCTGCAATACAGATACATTCCCATCATATATTAGAGTCAAATCCGCAATATTAAATCTTAACTAACTCAGCTGTAGAATATGATCCAAACAATTCAGATTAGTCAGTTTAGTTCTTTTAGAATTTAGAATTTAATAAATGTAACATTGTAAAAAAAATAATTTCATATTGATTATATTTTATGTTGATTGTTAAATAACTAAATGATATTTCTACGAAAGATTTATAGATTCTCAACTTGGATTTAATTTTTAGGAGATTTTCAAGCGAACCCTGAATAACTATAAGGTCCGTGTTTGAGGGGTTTAGGACTTTTAAAAGGCTCCAAAAAATCTGAAAAATTTCTGAAAAATTCAAAATTGTTACTTCTAACAATTTGCTTTTCTTAAATGCCGAAGTTTGACCCTGAGATAAAATATGTTTAAAAACTAACCAAAAACAATAGTTTTTCGGTTAGTTGTTGAACATATTTTATCTGATGATAAAGATTTTGTAAATTACAGAAAGGTAACTTTTACAGAATACAGTTTTTAAAAAAGTAAAAAAAACCCAAGTTTGGTCCCATCACTACTGTTCATATGGATAAAGTTAAGTTTAAAAAGGGTACAGATAAAATGTAGATGAGAAATAGAAAACGAATCATTTTTATCTAACTTCTTCCTATTTCAAACAAATAACGTGAAATTAACCATACTGAACTTCCGTTAAAGTATTAAGACAACTAACCTTGCGTTAATGTTAAATCCTCCAAACTAAAATTCGGTCAATATATGAAACAAACTAAACTTGCGTCAAAGTAATATCCACCAAACTAAACTTGCGTCAATGTAATATCCACCAAACTAAGCTTGCGTCAATATATGAACCAAACAAAACTTGGGTTAAACTAATATCCACCAAACTTCCGTCAGTATATGAACCTAGTAACTTAACTTTTGTCAATGTAATATCCTCCAAACTGAACTTCGATCAGTATATAAACCAAACTAAACCTCCGTCAACGGATTAATAACCAGACGGAACTTTTACTAATGGAACATACACCAAACTGACCTTCCATCAATTTAATATCCACCAAACATGAACTTCTGTCAATGTAATATCCATTTAACTAAACTTCCGTCCATGGAACATCCATTAAACTGAACTTCCGTCAATGGAATATCCAATAAACTAAACTTCCGTCATTGTAATATCCACCAAACATAACTTCTGATAATGTATTATCCATAAAACTGAACCAATTCCGTCCATGCGTAATATCTACCAAGCTGAACTTTCGGCAATGAATATCCATCAAACTAAACTTATTGTCAATGTAATATTCAAAATAAAAAAGTATTTAATAACTTACTGATGGACTGGAAGTTGAAGAATGTAAGGAAAGGATCTGAGACTGGAAGCTAAAAAACAAAAGATTAATTAAAATCAAACATTAAAATTATTAAAACATATTATTGCTGAATTCAACATTTGACGGATATTGTATGTGTATGTGTGTNAAAAAAAATTTAATAATATTTATATTTGACCTGTGTGGAGTACTTAAACTCGAAGCTCTCCTCCGAGCCTCGGGTTCTATTCCTCCTCGTCCTCCTGAACAGATAAATAAATTTAAAAAATTAAATAAATTAAATAAATTAAATAAATTTCAAAATTAGAAAAGGATGATAAAAATTTTATCTCCTTCATTCCTAATCAATGTTTTTTCTTAACAAAAAAATGTCATTAAAGTGACAATTTAAAAAGATACCCTTTAGTATATTTTTTTACAATATGAAGTATGAAAAACTAGTTTGACAATCCTTTTTAGCCCCTTCCTCTACCCTCTAAATCTACTCTGATATTTTAAGAGATGAATTGTAATTATAATTTCTCCGGATGTAAAATCATCCTAGAGATGTGATCTTTCTCCGTCCTTACTCGACTCTGGGTCTGTACTGTGCCTCCTCCGCTTCTTCGTCCTCCTGATGTTTCCTGTGCTCGCCGAGGTTCGATTCTTCATCAGTTTCATCGGATAATTCCACCAGGGAACGGATTGCTCGTCTTCAAAAGCAACTTTTCGCGATTTTCCGCCCCGTTCCGAACCCCGCCGTTTCCATTTCCTGACATCGGTGAGGTTTGCATCACTTTTCGATCTACTTGCCGTCTTGGATTTTTGATATTTTTGTTTAATTTTCCCTATCTGTCCAAGGGGCCAGTCAAATGCAGCCTAAATAAAAACAGAATTCAAAACTATTTAAGAAAATATTTTTTGAACTTTTTAAAATAAAATTTACCTGTTTGTAAACATCAACAACTTTTTTAGAAGGTGGACGATTAAATTTGTCGGAGGTTGATCTAGGTCTAGTCTTTGGGCTGAGGTCGGAGTCATTTAACCCCTTGGTGACCTCATCATCTACTGCAGCTCCATCCTGCTTAGGGGTTTCGGGCTTAGATACTAAAATAATAATATAATACTTCAACAAGAAGCTTAAAAATTTAGAAGAGTTGAGTGATTGTATCATTCTATGATAGATTCTATGTAGAATCCTGGACTGGAGGAAAGTAAAATTTCAACTTTTTTAATTTATCAATTTTGTGTTATAATTTCCCTCGGTACCTGCAAGTTTGGAACCTGTTTTCTGGCGATCCTTTAACCAGGAAAATTTGCCCATCGGCCAATCAATAATGGATGGCCGGCTCCCGCTCCCACTTCCGGACTTTCCTCGGCTGAGCCGGCCGGATCTAGTTCTATCCCGGAAGCTAGGTTTCACCTTGATTTCACAGCCTGAAATAATCGTTTTATTAAGTCATTTGGCGAGAAAAGACCACTTAAAAAATACAGAGGTTCTTGTCCAAAATACTCGTATTGATCTAGACTCCAAGTAAAAAAAAACACCAAGACTATTAAACCAACTTTTTTGTTTAACTACTTTATTGGAAAAGTAATAATTCGGCTTATTAATAATTAGAAATATTGTATAGAGTATTGGGTGATAAATTAATGTTTAATGGCATTAACTTCTATTATTTGAGCAAACATTTTTTAGTGCCTGAGACTTTTTAGGGAGAAAAACTCTCTTACACCCTGAGTACCTGTGTCACTTATACATGTTTTGATACTACAATTTTACTAGATGCAATACGCCAAAAGAGGTAAATCTACAAAAATGAGATTGCTCGCAAAGCCAGCAATATTTGAATCTAACTCAATGTACATAAATCTACTGAAAATAGCTGTACCTCACTGTACAGTGTACACTATTTGTTGAATGAACTAGTACATAATCTTGTAAATAACCCCACCTGCATGAACAGTTTGGTATTGTCTCTCCTCGAAATCAAAAACTTCTTCCGCCTCTGCAAAACTAACTCCAGGAGATTTCTCACGGTTACCACGCTCAGACGAGATCTTTTTCTGGGGTCCCGGTCCATCCACACCTATAATTATACAGGGATATATCTCATTCCGAATTTTTTCCAGATTCTAATATGTCCAATCATCTTAATTTGAACATATAGTTTTTGAATTCTGAACAGCTAGTTTAAGACCGAATTTAATGAATGGGAGGGATCATCGGTTCAAATCCTCTATCGCCGATTCAAATCCTCATAAATCTTTATAACTTTGAATCGGCGAGCGCAACGTAGTTTAGCGACCTAGCTCAAATTCATAAAATTCGGTCTCTAATCCAAAAATGAGTTTTTAAAACAAAGAAATTATTTTCTGCTAATTGTTATCTGCCAACAGTTTAAAAAGAAATCAGCCAAGTTAAAAAAAACGATTTAAAATGGCAGCCATATACTAGAGGAACTAGAGGCCTCAGGTTTGTTTAACGATCCGATATTTATCACTACTAAATAAAGGTTAAATTTATTATTTATTATTTTTATCTAATTACTCACTGAATTATGGAATTTACTTTGAGCGCATTTATAGGAGTGAGACATTTTTCTGAATTTTTTTTACAAAAGCAAAATAGTATTCCACTTCGAATTCTAAGGCATGTTTATAAAATACATTTATCAAAAAGCTTAAAAATGTGCTCATCAAACGAGATTTAATGATAAAACTTATGAAATAATCAGTGGTGTGAGTGAAAGTTTAAAAATCTTAATATGGGTATCCATTGAACCGGTTTGAAAACCGGAGTTCAAAACAATTTACAGAATTGAAAAATATTGAAATTTGGGCAAGTTATGGTCAAAAATCGTTTTATCTAAATCAGAAATTCCACTCGGGTGAATGATTAAGTTTTTCAAAATTTTCATTTTCACTGATACAAGTAACTTTTGACACATTTTTTGAACATTAAACCCCGTTTGAGGGAGCCATTTTTAATATTTGTGAAAAATGCATTTGATAAACCTGGTAAAATAATTTTTTTGCTTCTGTACAATTGTATTAGAAAAACGTCACACCCTTAGTGTGCATCTACTAGCAATGAATCAATGAATCAAACATTTTTAATTAATTGAGTTAATTAATTATTATTTTTTCAGTTTTGTTCCAATTAAAGACTTGCCAACAAAGCATTGAAGTCGCTACATCATCATTTTTTTAAACATTATATACACACAAGTTTTAATTTATACTTTTGTTATGCAATATGAGAATTTAGTAAATAGAAGCTTTTTAGTAACTGTTAAATAACAGTCAGGATGGGGTGAAGGTGGTATCAGTTTGAATACACTCGTGAATATGTGTATATTGAGAATTTAGTAAATAGAAGCTATTTAGTAACTGTTAAATAACAGTCAGGATGGGGTGAAGGTGGTATCAGTTTGAATACACTCGTGAATATGTGACGTAAGGGACTGTTTTTACTTTTTATCCATAAGTCAAACCAATAACATAATTGTAAACAATAGTTCGGGTCGAAATTTTCCTGGGCATAGTGGGTAGTGTTGGACATATATGCATATATATGGTTCTATAAAAAATTTCGTAGTTATAAAAATTTTAAAACTGTCAATTCTAAACATTTGATTTACGAACACTATATTTAATTTTAACCCCTAGAGAAGATATTTGCAAAATCGAACTAAAGACCGATTGAAAAACGAAAGATGCTATGAACCCAACACTAATCATTGTTTACCAACTAACTGCTTTTTGTTTCCGATAACCTAGTTTTTTCGCTCTTTTATTAAGTCACCATTATAAAAAAAAATATTCCTCTGCCCCAACTTGGTTCTAAACTCATTAGATATCTGGGGATATAACTCACCAATAATACTGAACCTAGGGGTAGGTTTCTCGGCGGGTTTAATCTCCTGGACTTGCTCCTTGTCTGGAGAAGGAGCTCTGGAAGATGATCTACTGGGAGGTCTTGAAGTAGGTCTCGAGGATCCCCTAGAGGGAGGAAGGGAAGACTTTGAAGGTCCGGAGATTGAAGAGTTTCTAGAGCTCTGTCTTGATCCGTCGTATTTTATTCTAGAGAAAAAATTCTAAAATATTTTTAAAAATTCAATCTTGAATTAGTTAACTATGGCTTTGCTTATGTTTGCATTTTACACTGAAATAATTATATTAATTTATTCTATAGAATGTGCTAACGGGCTGCACTGAATAAATGAAACTAGATAAAAATTATTCAAAATTTGAGATATTTTTAATAAATCCTATTTTTCAATGTGATCTCTTCGTTTTTATCTCAAAAATTGTTTCATTCAAGTGTTTGAGTAAATCTGAAAGAAAGAATCTGAATCAGTTTCTGATTCGTTTGCAATTTTTAGGACGGAAAAAGAATTATCCATCCAATATCACTAGAATTCTCGTATTTCCTTGAACACATCGAAACTTAAAAATATATCACCTCCCCTCAATCGATTTTAGTATAAAATTGTTTAGATCCATTAAAAACTCTAAGCTTAATATTGTGTATTTTTTAATATCTCGCGATAAACTATAAATTTTAATATGTAATCCTGTTTATACGTTTTTAATCATACTTCCGGGAATTTATTGATAACACTTAAATAAACTTTGATATGAAATCAAAATTGTTTTTTTTTTCTCACTCTTGGGTTTAAATTCAGTATCGTTAATTAACTTCGGGCCAACCCCTCAAAAACAATCGATTCCCTGGTTAGGCGGGTCCAAACTGCATAGTAAATTGTGATTGCTTATTTGGAATATCTCATGCTTTGTAGTTGAATAAAAATATGAATGAATGAATTAAATAGAATGTGGAGACGTTAGGATGGTCCAAAGTCGGGTTTATAACCATGCTTAAACTGAGCTACTGTCTTTCAGTAAGATTTATTTTTTTCAGAAAAAATAAGAACTTTCCTTCTTGCCTGCTTATTCGACTAACGTATTTTTCTTGGCAATAGTTCCGCTTTTGTGACATTTTGGTTTAACTACTCAGCTAAATAGTACTGCTTAAAGAATTAGATTAAGAATATGTAATGTACATTTGCACCCGGGGAGCTGAAAACTTTTAAATGAAAGTAATACGGATTAAGCGATCTCTAGTTGATCAGAGCAAGTGTTCCAGCTTAGATAAATTATGTTTACAAAATTCAACAAGATACCATTCATGAAATAAACAAAATTTAAAATTATGATTTTGTTTTTATAAAATTATGAAAATAAGTTGATAATGTCAGCTGAGTAAACAATAGCCAACTTTACGCTGTAATTCAATGGCTTTCTAGATCTACTTCTTTGGTACTGGTTGTATGCAGACTTTAACCCATACTGCCTGACTGCCTTAAACTCGAATATGAACCGAGGATAGATAGATATATACATGGATCGAGGTTTAGAACCCAACCTCACAATCCCTATTTATAGATTCATGGAATGCAAAAAATAAATTAATTCTCAACATCCGATTAAATTTATTTTTGCATACTTGAAGCGCATTGACACTTAAGTTTCAATCGTGTCTTTAATCGAAAAAAAAATACAATTAAAAGTACGGTGGGAGAGCTGGGATGTGTTTAGATTAGGATCAAATATATCATATATCATTTTAGTGATATGAAACTTAGGAGTACTATCTTTTACAACTAGGCCCATTATATAATAACAATTTTATCTTTATCCTGTTGATTTTCAATTACTCTTTTTTATTGTTCTAAAAAATAAATGTATGTTCTAATTTCAATTGAAATACTAACCCTGAGTTGAGAAGAGATTTGCTGTTAACTTTATAGATCACAAACTGTTTCCGACCTAAAACAAAGAAAATGAATTACAGTGTGTTCCGAAAAAGTTTTAAGAGCTATCCGTCCATAAAGAAACCAAATAAGAATGCTCAGAAATAATGCTTATTATTACTCAAACTTCAAAGCAGTAATAGTTATTTTTAACAGCCTGTTCCTTAATTTCATAAATTTCCGTTTCTCATGCTGTTGACATTATTAACACTTAACAGGATTTAGGGGAAAAAATAACTTTTTTAGCCACATAGTTAAAAAAGAAAGCTGCCTAGGTTTGAAATTAAAATATAGAATTTTTTTATGTTTCAACTAAATAAAACTTCATAAATTTATAGCATTAAAATGCTTTCAAGGCAGACACAATTTTCAGCTTATATTATCTTTTCAACAAATTCAGAATTCTACATTTGATCAATAGTATGATATATTCTACAGTGGTATCCAGAGAATAATGAATGATTTTAATTCTTTTTATTTTCAAATGTGACCAAGAATTTTGTACATTTTTTTTTTTACATTTTTATACATTTCTTTTTGAAAAGAAAGAATTCAGACGACAATCAATTCAGTTTTCTGATTTATTAAGTGTAAAACTTTAATAAATACCTTCCAAGGGGTTTGCTGCAAGTATAGTCCTGGATCCGAAACTGTGGTGGCGAAGTTTAGGAGTAGGTTTATTCACCACTGTGAGAGAGGTATCCGTAATTAATGGAGCATTTTCAGCCTCCCCTCCCTCTCCTTCCTCATCTGCACCCTCGTCGGTATCATGCTCAGCAGTCTCAGGAACCTTCTCCAGTACAAACCCACTACCCATACTGGATACTGTCAGTTGAACTGGATCAGGTTCTCCGGGTTCAGGTTCATCCTGTTCCTGGGATTCCCCAACCTCCTCTCCAGGTTCAGCATTAGCTTCTCCGCACACACCCGGAGAAACACAATTTGTCTCACTAAATTCATCATCAAAAGTTCCTGAATCTCCACCTTCCGCCTTAATCAACCGCTCCTTTCCATCGCCTTCCTCTTTATTCTCAGATTCTTTGGATGGTTCTTCTACGACGATTTTCTCAATTTTCTCTTTAGGAATTAATTTCTCCGCATCCGGATCAAGAAAGGAACCCTCTTTCGGACTTTGTCCCAGATATTTATTACTCTTTCCGAAACAAGACGAGCATATTCCCATCATGTTGATTTTATTGTTTTCTATGAGTTTACTAGACAAAGAACTATAATCACGTGTCAGCTGTGAAGAATCATTATTTCTCCAGGTATCCTAACTCACTATGCAATAATTTCAGCTTCTAACTGTGGTTTCCTCGGTTTATTTCTTTTCCCCGTTCAGTGCTAATTTCTCTACTCGGAGCAAAACTGCATCCGAACCCTGTGCACTGTGCACCCAACTAAATATCAATATTCTTCAACGTATATATTTAGTAAGACTGAACAATTATCTTATCTTTCACTTGTTGAACTTTGATCTCGAGTATAAACAAATGTATTTCTAGGTAAAGTAGTGAATAACAGAGAAAGAAAGACTAGTGTTTTTGCAAACAAAAAAGGTGGAGGGGGGTGGTAGAGGGCAGGGCCATGCAATTTTCTCAATAACATTAAAACAAATTTAAATCTTAATGTGAAGTATGCTTTTCGTAAAGACATTTCCTAGCCCCACACACTATTAAAAGCCCCGGTAAAATTGCACATATCCCTAAATAGGGTTTGGCTTGTTCTTACGTTCATCTTCTTCTCATTTTAGCCTGAAATATTATCTCAAATCCCGAATCCCTTCAACTTTTTTATTGCTTCGTAAGTTTTTCAAATGTAAACATTTTGTAAGCACTGTCGTGTATACTGTATACTATATAGACATAAAATAGATTTGTACTGCATACATTATAGGTTTGCACTGTATACAGGATAGGTTTGCACTGTATACAGGATAGGTTTTCACTGATGTATACAGGATATGTTTACACTGTTGTATCCAGAATATTTTTGCACTGTATACAGGACAGGTTTTCACTTTATACAGGCTACGTTTGCACTATAAACAGGTTAGGTTTGCGTTTGCACTGTATACAGAACAGGTTTGCACTGTATACAGGATAGGTTTGCACTGTATACAGGACAGGTTTGCACTGTATACAGGACTTTGCACTGTATACAGGACAGGTTTGCACTGTATACAGGATAGGTTTGCACTGTATACAGGACAGGTTTTCACTGTATACAGGATAGGTTTGCACTGTATACAGGATAGGTTTGCACTGAATACAGGATAGGTTTGCACTTTATACAGGATAGGTTTGCACTTTATACAGGATAGGTTT